TTGTGTGCGCTGGTCCTTAATCTGTATTTTGTATAAATTGTGGTCTTCACGGCATTGCTACTTCTTAGAAATGATCTGAGTGTGCCTAAATTCTGAAAAAGAAAAACTGGAATTGTTTTGTTTAGAAAAAAAAGGTGCCTCAGAGAGGATATGATAGCACTAGACAAATATATACAGGGTCAGTACAAACCGCTATGTACTAAACTATTCATTAGCAGGAATATACAACAAGACAAGAGGTCACCTATCGAGAGTGGAAGAAAGGCATTTTCGCTTACAGCAAAGGAAATGTTTCTTTACAGTAAGATCAATAAAGATGTGGAATTCTCTGCCTAAAAAGGTTGTGTTATCAGATGCTATGGATAATTACAACAAAAACGTTTACGATATGTTGATATGTAAGTAAACAGGTTGTTGATCTAAGGAGATATCTCATTATAATTATGGAGTCAAGAAGGATCCCTCCCCCCCTTTTTATAACATCATTGAAAATGTTTTTGTTTTTTTTCTACCTTCTTTTGGATCAACAGCATAAAAGAATGGGCTTCAGAGCTGAACTTGATGAACTTTTTCACAATAGACAACTATGTACCTATGTGTGCACTATTCTAATAACCCCTATTATTGTACCACAGCAAGAAATGCTTACAACCAACATACAGATTGATTGTTTAAGCTACAATAGTTTAATGTAAAGTTTCCTGTTTGGTCACTAGGTCAACTTTAAAATTAATGAAATTAAATGGTTAATTTTAGAATTTCATTAGTAATCTTGTCAAGAACACAGGCATTTTCCCTTCAAACAGATTCATTCATCCTAAAAGATAATACATTCTAGAAACCAACAATCCAGTCATTCATCTTTCAATTTCCGCTTATGTTGTATTGTTTGAGCATCTCTGTAATTTCAGAGTCAGCCTTAAGTATATGTTGGCGTTCTGCGTGTCATTCATGAAGACAGTTTAAGTACCGGGTGCATCACAGTAAGTCTCCGTGATAACATATATCAAGTAAAGTGAGATCTCTTAATAGGCACAGCTGAAAGGAAGCTGTGATATGTCAAACTGAAACATACACGAATGGAATGAACTAAGTATAAAATAGTATATATTTTGTAAAATACATTGTGAGATGAATGTGATACATTTACATTGGCTTGTGATTTTCACGTATGTTTTTTCTGTGCGATAATAATTCTCGGATAGATTCGCTAAGTTGAGCAGGACAGTTGCCTACAAAATGCAGTATGTAACCTTAGAACACTCTCGTATTCAATTCAAAGTCTTCTCTGCTCATATAGGAGTTGTCTTCAGTAGATCGCTGTGTATGGGCAGCCCTGCATCCTGCCATCCTGTCACTCATGCCACTTGGCATGACGTGCCCCATTTTATGGTCAAGTGAGTAACCAGATAAAGTTAATATTTTTCATGCTTCGACTGTCTCATAAAATGTTGAAGGGTCCCACGGCAAGCCCAAAGAACACTATTAACTTGTCAAACTCTGATTACTTCATCAGAGAGCACCATGGCACTCCAAATACCATAACCACCACATTGGTTTTGTTTCTTTGAGTTGTCCTTTAACACCCCTGACAGACAATGGATATATCTTTTTAAGTTATTTTTTTTAATACACCCTTGACTAAAACATTTAAAATCCCAAATAATTTTGTGGTAATATTTTTTATGTGATGCTCAATTTCTATCAAATGTACACTGTCAAAGTTATTTACTAAATAGAGAATAGTCAGGGATTCTAAGTAAATTACTATTTTAAGGTCAAAATAGCTGAAAAATGATCCAAATAAGCTATGTTTTTGGTTCAACTATTTTTGTCTAAGATTTGAAATTTATTTTGCAATCACTGAAATCCCGAAAATTCTCGATTTAGTAAATAAACCAGTGTATATTAAAGATTTAGCAAGTTATATTGCAATCCTGTTTGGTCAGAAAATTGATTGAAATGGGCAGAGCTTATATCAGTGAGTGACAGGGATCCAAGATGGAGGCACTCCGTGTCAAGAGAGAAATAAACACAGTATGGATTTCTATATTTAATCTTATACTCAGACCTCCAGACTCGTCATGTCCCATGATTTTGGCCTCAATTTAATATTTTTTGTTAAGCTTTTAAAATAATTTTTTGAAAAAAGAAAAATAGCCAAAAATATTAAATTAAGCCCTTTTTTGGGGTGAAATATGATTTTAAAACAGTCACTCAGAGCATGTTTAAGCACACTTTTGCTGCAGAGCCTTTAATCCCTACATGAGCGGTTTAGCAGTGCTCAGTAATTATTATCTGTTAAATAGAGCAGATAAACAGACTTTGACAAATTCGGGGAAGTGACAGTTCCCCTTTAAGCATTATAAGTTTCCATATATGTTCCTAACCGCATATTTTACAGGCAATGAAATCACCATTTTGTCATACCTCCCAAATATCCCTATTTAGGAGAGTCCCTATTTTGGACCCAAATCCCTCTGTCCCTCTTTTCTATCATACTGTTCCTCTTTTCTAGGAGATCCATATTGTTGGTGTCTGAGTGTATAACAGAGCTCCCAGGGCTCGAGTCCTGCAGGAACGTGTGTGAACGGCATTCCTGCACTTTTTCCACAGCAGGAACGCCGTTCCCGTTACGATCACCCTACAGCATGCCAAGCATTTCCATTGGCATGCTGTAGTCTGGTCTCATGGACAACAAAACATATAGCATGTGCTTGTACAAGAGGAATGGGCGTTGCCATACCCCACGCTGGGGCGTCACGGTGCCGGTTTCGTCAGACTAGGGGAACAGGAAGAGTTGCGTTGCCTATCGGCGCTTCCTATCGCTGAGGCCGTGGAACGCAAGTGGGTGACGTCACTGCATGTTGGCGGGAGGTGCCGGTAAACATGGCGTCTTTTTCACTGATAACAGGATTGAAGGTGTAGGGAGTGACAGGAGCTCGGAGCAGGTGTCAGCTCCCCTGGAGGAGCCTGCGGCCAGTGCGGTGTCGGATGGCGTATGAAGATGGCGCAGCTGAACGTGGAAAACATGAAAACTCTGAATGAGCTGGGCGATGAGCTTACCCTTAACGATATTGACGGTAAGAGAATTGTAATAATACATAGCGATCCGTTATCTGCTCGGTGTGTATATATTAATGTATGTTCAGTATTTATCGTCTTTATCATGTCCGAGTTATTAACTAAATATCAGTTATAGTGCATTGAAAACTAATGGCAAAATATACAATAAATCACCATGTGTGGAGTAATTCTGTCACTAAGCTCTAGTAACAGCCTGCCTTACTGAGCCATTTGCATTTTATTTGCCAAAACTATGCTGTTATGTTCCTATGTTATTACATTGGGGTTCATTAACACAGAATTGTAGGAAATTAGAATTGGAATGGCAGAATAAAGGCAAAAATAGCCAATCTGTGATTGTAGTTTAATTAAAGATAATTTATTTTTTTTTGCCCTAAATTTTTGATTGTATTTTATTAAACTGTGGAGTTTAGTGATTAACCCTCGCACTGCCTGGCAGTGATATTTTGTCACTTGAGCGTGTTGAATAAGATGTCACAATGAGCAAGTACATTAGGAACACCTGATTGAAGTGGTTATAGTGCCTGGAGGTTGTGAGAGCCAGGTCCATCATCCCTGCTAAACTCATTACTGTTTGTTTAGCAGAGTTCAGTCTACAGCAGCGGGATGTTGCCGCCTGGTCCTGAACTTAGAGTTGGCGGTGACAGAGCGTTTCTCCGCCATGAGCCGTACCAGTTAATAGAATTGGGGCAGTGGCGCGTTGCAACTATCATTGTCTCCTACATCTGCTATGACGTGAAGCTTTTTTTGGGGAGGGGAAGGGGAGTGGATCTTGGGTGAGTTCCCACCCTTTTTCCTCGGGACTTGACCCCTGAGAGCTCCACAGCAATAATACTCCCAATAATGTGTCGTTAAACAGTAATAAATGTGTTTAGTAATCAGTCTGTGTAAATAAGATACATTGTTCTTGTTCTAAATTACATTTTAGTCGCATAAATTGTTATTAGTAAGTCACCTAAAATTTCTCAGAACAGCCCTGCCCCTGGCCCCCAGTTACACCCCTAAACTCATTAAAGTGTCCCTCTTTGCCCATTTGGAATGTTGGGAGGTATGTTTTCATAAATGTCCCGAAATTGTCATGTTTTTGTCTATTTTTTTATTTAATGTAGTTTTTTCACTGGTTCTGTTTTATTTTTTTAGATAACATTTATGGCACAAACTGTTATATGATGTAAAAAGTCTTGATTACAGGAATAAACCACAGATTTCCTTAATTGGGCTGCAAAATGCGGTTTTTAGATTAGGATTGACCAGGCGAGATGGTTATTTTTGTTCTTGTCTGCTGTAGAACTGTGTGTTTCTGCACATGAATTTATTTTCTGTGTTTTCCCGATCAGTAATCCCTTATTTTGCATGCAGTGAAATTTGCTAATCCGTGCACTTGTTTATGTTCTGCAGTGAAATAGTATCAAAATCTCCAAGGAAAATATGCAATTTCTGTTCTATGTGCAAATAAAATTTCATGGTCGATTTATATGATTGCCTAGATTACAAAAATAAACCTATAAATATGAGCAAGTCTCCAGTTGCTTTTAAAATTAAACCTTCGATGGACCAGTAGAAGACAAACCTGCATAAAAGGGACTCCAGGCAAAAGTTGGCCTAATATTAATGCATTATAGAGAGTCACCTCTCAATATCTTTCTGGCCTTATGTCTGAATTCGATATCACCCTCTTTGTGCGGCTTTTTACATCTCCCCATGTGTGTCTTTTGATTTCTCTTCGTACCCCAGTCTATGGCTTTTCTTTCTTCTCTCCCCCTTTTTATGTAACTGTCTCTTATTTCTACCCCCACACACACTTGTAGGGCTCCATCCAAAACTCTTCTCTGTATCTCCCTCCTCCAAGGTCCTATCTTGAGGTTTGTAGCCCAGGTGAGAGGCGTGTTGGACAGCCATGGCTGTCAGTTCAACTACCCAGCATGCTGCTCAGCTGTGTAATGTAATAATGGCAGGGTGTCCAACCATTGGTGGTCAGACCTCTTCCTGTTGATTGTCCAGTTGGGGTCAGACCTCTTCCTGTTGATTGTCCAGTTGGGGTGAGACCTCTTCCTGTTGATTGTCCAGTTGGGGTCAGACAACTCCCTGTTGATTGTCCAGTTGGGGTCAGACAACTTCCTGTTGATTTTCCAGTTGGGGTGAGACCACTGCCTGTTGATTGTCCAGTTGGGGTCAGACCTCTTCCTGTTGATTGTCCAGTTGGGGTCAGACCACTTCCTGTTGATTGTCCAGTTGGGGAGTTTTTCTGATCTGCCCAACCAGTTCCAGGTAAAACCCCAGCAGCCACGACCCTCAGTCCATGCAGGACTTGCTAGAGTGCTCAGCACTCTCTGAAAGGGAATGCAGTGCAGCAGGAACGCCATCATCAGAGTGGTAGACATGTATCGTGATAAATGCATGTTTCTTTTCCATGCAGCTCAGTTATTCACTTTCCCCCTTAAGTAGAACTCTCAGGAATCCAAGCCATGACACCATGTACAGCAGCACAACCTGCATGTTGTTGGGGGCAGAAATTGTGGTCTAGTGTTAAAATATTCTATAATATTTGATTTACTGCAACATACACAATTAGACAAATGTGTGAGTACCTGGAGCAGTCCTTAATCACATATTAATTATATGTTTGTAAGAGTATTGGCAAGCTCGCTGTCTTAAAACTGGGAAACACAGTGTTGAATCCTGATGAAGCCAGGTAGTCACAAGTAACAGTCAGTCCCAGAGGGAGAGTTTTCCCACAAAACAGGGGGACATTTGTGAAAGTCCCTATTTACATAGTAATAGATATATATATATTTTTTTTTTTAAATGCTAGTACAAGTACAGCCATTCACCTATGTCTGTTTCTGATTCAAAAGAAGGAGAAAAACCCAATTTTAAGCATTTTCCAAATTTGCTCTAAAAAAATTATAATTTTTGATTACAAAATGTCTGCAATTTCAAAATGGCAGCAACAAAACTAGCAGCTTTAAAAAAAATATTTTTTTTGCATATTACACTATATGTTTGTTTACATTATTAAGATTTTTTTTGCAATTTCATTACAGAAAAAAAATATTTGTGTTCCGTTTATTATTTTTTTTTTACATTTTACATTTAAGTGACACAAGAATATAATTACCGAAATTAGTCATTCTTATTTTGTCACCCCCATAATAATGTTATTACCTCAGCATGTGATCCTTTCCTACTACTTCTGTCATCCTTCCTAGATTATAACTTCCTCCAGCTGTCTAAGCACCCTACACCCCAGCTCAGCTGCGACCCCCCTCCATTTTGGTGCAATTTATAACAACTACAGAGATTATACTCCAGTAAAATGTCTGCTCGAGAAACCTAAAACCTTCCTTCCTGCGCCATTTATTAACCTTTCTTAGTTCCTGCAGCCTCCCCAGAGCCGGTGTCGAAGCATCATTTATATTTATAGCTGAAGGTTGTTGAGAATAAAGTATTTTCTAGTGATTACTGCGTTGGACATTGAGAATTCTGAATAAAGGTCAATGTGGTTTGGGGGTTAAAGTGGGATTGTGGGTAATAATGAGCATTTCTGTTCTGGTTGAAATGTAGATCATGGAATATTTTGACATGTTAGGAGATTATTAGTGTAAATGTATAAGTGCAAAACATGACTTATTTTGAATAAAAATAAACAGAATAAGGGCATTATATCGCAAACTGTAAATAAATCAGTAAGTAATATTTTGTTTTCCGTCAATCTTATTGACGATATTTATTCCTCAGGGTAAGCACCATAAGGACTTTGTTTTACTGCAATGTATACAGTGCTTAGGGGACTATCGTTGTTAAGAGGGGTACAGAGAAGAATTAAGAACATTTTGTAATGGTCTAATTTATTGTTAAATTTCCCCCTTTTATAATATTGTAAAGAAATATGATGGCACTACATAAATGCGAAAAATAATAATAATTCCAAAGGGCCCTCGAAGGATGGTACAAATAACCTGCTGTCCCTTTAATTTAATCACAGTCAATGTTACCTGTACTCTTGAACTTATATCACAGGCCCTGTGGATGCAGGAGCCACATGCGCCCATCTCACTACAGATTCACTATGTGCAGATTTGCAAAATTACTGCGTTGTCTTGCAGGTCTAACAAGGGTTCGAAGGACACCCACATCCTTAAAAGAGTTCAATCATAGTTCTTATTCTGGATTCTTGGGCTACATACACAGCATCAGCCTCTATACGAGAACTTCACTAATTGTTACAATTACAAATTAAATTGCTAGTGTAGGACTCACCTAAGAGGTTTTGCCTTGACGTGGCAGGTGCGCTTACACTTGATTAACCCTGTTATTTAAAGGTGCGCACAGATTTTGGATAGTGCACAAGTAACTTTTTCATTAGTTTTTTTTATTATACTACTTGTTACAGTGCCCGTCATTCATAACTATTAGGGAGTAGTGGCCTTTACTGATGCAGAATTTAACAAGCAATGGACTTACTGGTAGCTGCTACTGAAAACCAGTCACTAACTGCTCCCATTATTTTCTATGGGACTCACTAACCACCAGTTAGTGACTAGTTTACAATACTGCCACTACCCTTTGCTGACTGATGCAAAGCCCAAAAACTCATTCTAGCCTGTTGTGAAAGAAGTTAAAGACAGCTAGATCCTTAAAAATTCTCTTTAAACATAAAGTCTTGTTCCAACCCTGGTCGGTTTTATCAGCCATATGCTACTTACCTGTCATGACTGTCCACACAATGTGAAGTGAGTGTGCTCAGAATGTGTGTTTCTGTGCATGACCAACAACCTGCTAATAAGCAAGTTATTTAGCGATAGGCTTTAAAAACGTAGCAACAATGTTACAAGCCTGGTGGTAATGTATAGCCACTACAAGCTACCGGCTGTTGGTAATAATAACAGGTCTTATGGCAACTATTTACCAACAATGTTACAAGCCCGGTGGTAATGTATAGCCACTACAAGCTACCGGCTGTTGGTAATAATAACAGGTTTTATGGCAACTATTTACCAACAATGTTACAAGCCTGGTGGTAATGTATAGCCACTACAAGCTACCGGCTGTTGGTAATAATAACAGGTCTTATGGCAACTATTTACCAACAATGTTACAAGCCTGGTGGTAATGTATAGCCACTACAAGCTACTGGCTGTTGGTAATAATAACAGGTCTTATGGTAACTATTTACCAACAGTGTTACAAGCCCGGTGGTAATGTATAGCCACTACATGCTATCGGCTGTTGGTAATAATAACAGGTCTTATGGCAACTATTTACCAACAATGTTACAAGCCCGGTGGTAATGTATAGCCACTACAAGCTACCGGCTGTTGGTAATAATAACAGGTCTTATGGCAACTATTTACCAACAATGTTACAAGCCCGGTGGTAATGTATAGCCACTACAAGCTACCGGCTGTTAGTAATAATAACAGGTCTTATGGTAACTATTTACCAACAATGTTACAAGCCCGGTGGTAATGTATAGCCACTCTAACCTACCGGCTGTTGGTAATAACAACAGGTCTTATGGTAACTATTTACCAACAAAGTTACAAGCCCGGTGGTAATGTATAGCCACTACAAGCTAGCGGCTGTTGGTAATAATAACAGGTCTTATGGCAACTATTTACCAACAATGTTACAAGCCCGGTGGTAATGTATAGCCACTACAAGCTACCTGCTGTTGGTAATAATAACAGGTCTTATGGCAACTATTTACCAACAATGTTACAAGCCCGGTGGTAATGTATAGCCACTACAAGCTAGCGGCTGATGGTAATAATAACAGGTCTTATGGCAACTATTTACCAACAATGTTACAAGCCCGGTGGTAATGTATAGCCACTACAAGCCACTGGCTGTTGGTAGTAATAACAGGTCTTATGGTAACTATTTACCAACAATGTTACAAGCCCGGTGGTAATGTATAGCCACTACATGCTAGCGGCTGTTGGTAATAATAACAGGTCTTATGGTAACTACTTACCAACAATGTTACAAGCCCAGTGGTAATGTATAGCCTCTACAAGCTAGCGGCTGTTGGTAATAATAACAGGTCTTATGGTAACTATTTACCAACAATGTTACAAGCCCGGTGGTAATGTATAGCCATTACAAGCTACTGGCTATTGGTAATAATAACAGGTCTTATGGCAACTATTTACCAACAATGTTACAAGCCTGGTGGTAATGTATAGCCACTACATGCTATCGGCTGTTGGTAATAATAACAGGTCTTATGGTAACTATTTACCAACAATGTTACAAGCCCGGTGGTAATGTATAGCCATTACAAGCTACTGGCTATTGGTAATAATAACAGGTCTTATGGCAACTATTTACCAGCAATGTTACAAGCCCGGTGGTAATGTATAGCCACTACATGCTATTGGCTGTTGGTAATGATGACCGCTTATGGTAACTACTTACCAAGAAGGTTGAAAAAGTATGCTAGCATGTACCCTATTTCATAGACATGCAAGAGGTAAGTTTCTTGAATATCCAGACACACCTTAACCCCATAACGCCGTTACGGCGTTCTATGCCGTCCCGCTTTAATTGGGCTTTAAAGCCATTGCGGTGGCATAGAACGCCGTAACGGCTTTCAGCCCCAGGAGCAAGGACTTACTCACCTCCGCCGCGATCCTCTTCTGGAATAAAAATACACTTAGAATGATGTTACATATATATAATATATCTATATTATATATATAATAAATATATACACATATATTATATATATATATATACGTATAATTACAATAATAAATAAATAACATAATAAAATAAATAAATAAAATATTGAATCAAAATTTAATATAAGTTATATATTCATATGTAATTTCATTCTAACTGTATTTTGTTATTAACAATCTATATATAAGTTAGCGTTCATATATGTTTTTGTGTGAAAAAAGCAAAAAACTAATATTTGGCCAGTGTTTGTGACTAAGTGGCTACTAAAAAAGACTAAACATACCCCACTTTCAATACCTTGGGTTGTCTACTTTTTCAAATGGTATGCCATCATGGAGGTAAATCTCATTCCTGGGCTACCACACGGTCTCATAGGTAACATTACTAATTTGGCAAATTTCAATTTGAAAATGGAACGTTCTATATTTGACCCTGTAACTTTCCAAAACACCATAAAACCTGTTAATGGGGTACTGTTGTACTCGTGAGACATCGCTGATTACAAATATGTGCATTTTTTTGCAGTAAAACCTAACAGTATTATGACATTCACAGCTAAAATGTCAGACAGAAATATAAAATTTTTAAAAAAATCTCATTTTCTCAAATTTTTTAAAATTTTATTTATAATAAATTATGTTCCATATATGAATAGTTAATGATACATTAAAGCCCT